TGACCCTAAGTGGTGGTGCTCCACCAATTTCCAGTTGTGATGATATCAAAAGAATTAAGTAGCCTGACATGGTAACAATATTGTGGTAATAATAGCATAGTATGAGGTCACATGGACATCCTATAGAATTTTCAACATCCTAAGAAATAAAAATCATGTTTTAGGTAATAAACCAAATCAGCACTGAATGACAAATATAGGGGATAGAGTCTCAAATAATCCATTATTGAATAAGGTTTTAGTTTTATTTATTTTTTTAAATTTTTTAATGTTTTATTTATTTCTAGGAGAGAGAGAGAGAGAGACAGCGTGAGCAGGGGAGGGTCAGAGAGAGAGGGAGTCACAGACTGAAACAGGCTCCAGGCTCTGAGCTGGCAGTCAACACAGAGCCCGAAGCGGGGCTCGAACCCACGAACCGCGAGATCATGACCTAAGCGAAAGTCGGACGCTTAACCGACTAAGCCACCCAGGCGCCCCAATAAGGTTTTAGTTTTAAAACAAATTCTCAGTCAGCATATGATTTCAGCAATGTTTTGTAGTAACCATATTGATTGAACTTTAAAATTTGACCATGAAAGCTGAAACTGATGGCTTTGTGTAGGTCATTCCAACTCTGATTTTTATTTTTTTAATAAAAACTGTGCTGCTGATATAAGTACAGGGAAGTGACAATTAATGGTGTTGATATCAGCAGGCACTATCAGATTGGAAAAGGGGATTGAGAAAAACAATAGGAAATGGGAACCTGATGAGGCACAGAAGCGGGGGAATTAGAGCAGATGCTGAGAAAGAGAAAAAGACAGGGGGAACAGGAAGAGAGAAGCCAAAGAGCAGTGTTCAGTGGTCCTGATGGCTTCACTGGAATTCAGTTTTAGCTCTGTACATGTTCCAGTGAGAGATCATTGCACACCATGAGTCAGAAGCAACATTTGTATTTCCTGAATCTATACAATTGTCTCTGGTAGGTAAGGCCCGGAACTCAAGACACCCACCAAAACTGTCTGGGGAAAGCTTCTGAAAAAGAAACAAGTAACTTCAGGAAAGACAGAAATAAGTTTACAGTAAAATTCCCTTTCCTCAATGGTGACAGTGGAATGGCCAGTATTCTTACAAATTAATAATAATTATTTAAGCAATGATACATTTGTAGAACGCTGTTAATTCCACATATTTGTTCTACAATGGCTGCTTCACAAAAGCAGCATGGGGTAAGTAGAGCAATGATTCTTTTACAATTTACAGAAGAAAAACAAAGACAAAATGCTTCAATAAATTTAAATAACTTTCCAAGTTTCTGGTAGAAACAGTAGGGGAACTTAGAACTAGGTATCCTGATTCCCAGAACCACTCTCTTTCCCTTACCTCCCTGGCCACTCCTAATCAATGAGCCACACTTGCATAATTTAAACCAAAAAGCAAAGTACTTGGAACTACTTTGTAACTATATCATATTTTTCATTGTTTCAGATCTGCAGAGACCTTCTCATTATAGATCTCATTGTTCTCTTTGATTTGATTTTATCATTCCTTTTGCTTTTTTTTCTCAAAACATTTCATACTACTGGTTCTCATAGGTGCAAGAGATTAGAAAATCCTTCCAGAAACTAAAGTCAGGTGCATGGGCCTAAGTACCAGCTTTATGGCTTCATATCTGAGTAAATCCATTAAATTCTCTGAATCTCTATTTTCCCTCTAGAAAAATAACAGATTCAGATTTAGTGCTTCCCTACATAAACTCACACATTCTCTGTTCAGTTGTTAATTAATAAATGTTATATTATTACATACCACACATGTATTCATTCATATATTACTTATTAATTTTAACATCACTTAGTCTTCCACCAAAGTTCCTAGGCATGTGCTGGCATGTTCTAGACTTCTTTGCTTTTCAAACTGTGGACCAGGCTGGTGGTCCAGTAACTTCACTGTGACTTGGGAGATTTTTAAATACACAGAGTCTCATTCTCTATCCCAGATCTATTAAACCATAACCTGCATTTTTAACAAGATGCTTGGTGATTTGCATGGACTTAAAATTTTGAGAAATAATGCCATAGATTGTAAACTTCTAGGAAAAAGGAGAAACAGGACTTTGTATCTATGTACATAATACATAGTATCGGGTGATTTAAAAACCCGTTTAAGGCGAGTGTAATTTCTACCTCTATTAAGAGTTTTCAGAAGGTAATAGTTGTAATGAAAATGTTCAATATTTTACTAATATTTTTTCACTTGCTTCACATTACTGGGGGAAGTAATGGAAAAAGCATAAATTTAGAATGATGATCAAATTCTTATCTTGTTCTGTCTTGAAAAATGGGAAGTCAAATAATGAACCAGTCTCACCAAATTCAGGAAACCAGATCCATTACAGAATTTGCCTAAGGTCACACAGTTAATGAGTGTTTTAGGAGTCTGATTCCAAAACCTAATCACATTCTATTATAATGGGCAACTATCTTGTAGTGAACATCAGAAACCTGTACAAGGAGAAGTTCCATTATTGCTAGAAAAAGTATGGAGTCAACTTTAGTCATTTATTAATCTATTAGTTTTCTTTAAAGTATTAGCAGTCATTAAATTATTATTTTTCCAAGTTATACATGCTCCTGGAAGGGATGTGGATTTGGACTATATAAATCAATTTAATGTATTCAAACCTGTAGTTTTGAAACAAATTCCCAATAACATTAACCATGAATGTTGGAGTTAAAATAACAGTTCTAATATTAAGCATCCCCAAACATTGTGGACTATTTTATAAGCTTCTTTTAAAGTAAAAACAAGCAAAAGTAGTTCAATGCTACATTTTAATAAATCATAGTAAGTAATTCTCTTCCTCAAGCTTAGTTTAATTATTAGTAAACCTAGCTGATACTTTTACAATTTTTTCTTTAAAAACTTTGTGAAATTTGATTACTATTTAAGAAACTACTCTGTAAAGTAATATGCCACAGGATAAGTTCCTGATTTTTATATTTGATCTAAATCTTGTTTTATACTTTAATTATTTATATATTTCTTTACCTCCTATTAAAAAAAAGTAATTCAAGGCAGTTTATACTGATAAATGATGAAAGTAACAAGTATAAACTTGTCTATTTTTGCGTGTAACATTGTTTTAATTATTTTCCTCCAACATTTTTATTTTGAAAAAAATCCGAGCTTTCAAAATTACTGCAATGAACACTCACGTTCTCTTCACCGATTGTGTATATTTCACCACATTTATTTGTCCCTTTTTCTTCTCCTCTCTTCCTGAAACATTTGTGAATTAGTTGCTGACATCATGGCATTTTATCTTTTAATAATTCAGTATGTATCTCATAAGGCTTGGGCATTCTTTCATGTAACCAGAGTAAAATTATAAAAGTCAGAAAATTTCACATGGACATGATGCTATTATGTAATGCATTATATGCATTAAAATTTCCAATTTTGTCATTGCTTATTTTCCAAATTTGGAAGCAATGAAAGGCTGAACATTACATTTAGTTGGTCATGTTAATTTGTAAAAAATACAAGTAATCATGTATTACTGTGATTTTTTAAACATTTTTCTGTAAGAATAATTGTACTTGTGAGGAAATTCCCATATTTGATTGTACACTTACAATTCGTATTTCCATAAAGTTGAGGTAAAAACTAACTCACATAGTTTCTTCTGATACATAATTTCTTCTGATACATAAATACACATACGCATTTTCCCCCCACTGAAATGAGTGTGTTTGGACATTTTTGGTGTATATATACATTAAGATTGGCTGAGGATACAAACTTGAAACTTGACAAGACTATAAGAAAAAAAAAACAGGGTTTAAAGAAAAACTTATAGATCTAAATGACATGAAGGTTAGAATTATGAGTATGGAGAATTAAAATAAAATAGTCTATCTCCAAGGTCATTCTTACCAGTGCTTTCCGATTGGGTGCCCCAAAGTCAAGATGAAGTTAAAGAACTTAGTGTAACATGCAAATCAATCCAGTGTTTATGGCTGAAACAAATCAAGCAGTTCCAAGGTAAAGAATGTCGTGGTGATTTTAATTTGGCCACAGTTTCTTTTCTGTTCCTGTTTTCATAGGTGTGTATGAACTTGGCCATTCCCTTGACCTTTCTCCCATGGGTACTCTCTGGCTGCTCTCAGAAGTATTATTCTCAAATACTGAGAACAAACTGAAGGTTGATGGGAGTGGAGGATAGGGGAAAGTGGGTGATGGGCATGGAGGAGGGCACTTGTGGGGATGAGCACTGGGTGTTAAATGGAAACCAACTTGACAATAAACTATATGAAAAAAAGAAGTATTATTCTTTTGGCATATATTATGGCCCTCGAGATGCACTGTTTTCTTTGAAAAAGATAAAAAAAAAATAGAGAACTGTGAGCACTCTTCAGAGAATAAAGAATAAGTCTATCTTTCTTCCTCCCTTCCTTCTAGGGCTGGCCTAGAATAACTTATCTTGACAAAGGAGATAGTGCTCATACCCTGCAGGTGGGTTGCCCAAGAGATTTATTCACAATGATCCTGAGGAAATAAATCAAGTCTGTGTTGCTAATGTGTACCATGCATTATCAAATGGAAGAATAGGTGTTACTCTGGTCCAGCCTCATTAGAATACTGAAGTTTAAATTTTCTAAGTTTAGTCTTAAGTGTGCATAGTTTAGGTTTATATTTTATTTTCATATGTGTAAACAAATGTAGATAAATCTGTATCTCTGAATTTCAGAGAGTCACATCGCATGTATTTTATTTAAATGCAATAAATACAACATGCTCATGTTAAATTCTGTATTTTTAAGAACCTATGTTCTGAATTTGGAGATTTCCTGATTAGATGATGATTTTTAACTTTTAAAATGCTGTTAAAACAACATCTTTTATTTTTCCTTAAAAATAAAAGTTTACTTTTAACTTTTACAAAAGTTTAAATGTTTGAATTTTAAGAGACTCAGCATTCTTTTTGTCTTTTATTTTTTGACACTTGATGGGGCAAAGTAACTATTCTACCTTGTCCTACAATACTTTTGTGTGAGTGAACTAAGAAGAGGACACATGGAAGACAGATAATTGGCGGTATCATTTTCTAACAGCATAACATTGGGGAAGTTACTTTATCCTGATATGCCTCAGTTCCATCATCTGTAAAATGGGAATAAATTATCTACCTTACGAGGTGATCAAAGAAGTGAATGAGATAACGCTATGACACACCAACAAAAATAAGTGACCAATAAATGGTAGGAATTTATAGTTATTATTTTTATCGTTATTACATTTTTTGCCACTAACATACTGCATTAGAGGAAATATTTTAAAAACCATCAAGACATCATCACCATTCAAACTAGATAACAGGAACTACTCTCTTTAAAATAAAATGAGACTTCTAGGCACAAAAATGTAAAGGGGTTAACAAATCATCTGCATAAAAAACAACTATAAAACAATTTTTGGATGGAAATATTAAAAAACAATCGAGAAGCAATTACTAATAAAAAGTAATGAACTTAAGGGAAAAAGAGTGGGAGTTGGTGGTAATAATGCCTGGGTTCCTTCCATTCTGCCCACATCCTCCCCTCTCTACTCCCACAGTTTGGTCAGTAGCAGAACTGTCTGTTAAAATCAGCAGCTTTACTTAATTTGAGAAATCCATGCATAAAGAATTATTAGTAGAAGTAACACACTTGGTAATAATTAAAGAAAAAAGTTTGCAGCTCTCCTATCTTAGGTTGGAGCTCTACAGGGACACGTGGCAGACCTTATGACTATCCAGAAACTTGACAAAGAGATCCTGAAAATGAGAGAGGCATACAGGAGCTTGATAAACTCTCTACATATTCCTGGTTGGGTGGAAGGTTGCACATGGGCAGGGGAGACCTAAGAGGACCCAAGATCTCCACATGTCTCTGGATGTCTACAAGTCTATGCATATGCAGGGGAGACTTGTAAGGAAGTGGTGAAGAGTAAAAGTTAGGACAGAATTGAAAATTGCCTGAACTTTGCATACACTCCGTAACCCACACACATATTTATAAGCAGAGTGTGGAACCCTTACTGGCTTGGAGTGTTTGAGCACAAATTTGAGCCAAGCAGACACCTAAGCTAAGTAGACACAGTGGTAGTCCTTAGGAAGCTAGGCTAAAAACTAAAAATATGGATGAAATAACTAGCAGAGATATCAACAGTTGCACAGTTGCATAGAGACAGAGTCTGCAGATTAAGCCCAGGAAAATTACTGACAAACCAATATATAACAAAATAAACAGAAAAAAAGATGGTAGCTCCTGGGGTGGGGGGTGGGAGAGGAATCAGAGTCCAGAGTCACTGCAATACATTATCTAAGGTCCTCAGTTGCCAACAAAAATTCTGGGATATGCAAAGAAATAGACAATAAATGTGTATTATACTCAGGAAAAAATGCAATCAATACAAATTGTTTCTGAATGGGCCTAGATACTGAATTTACAGGCAAAGGCTTCAAAGAAACTATGACAAAAGCAGTCAAAGAATAAAACCATGTCACAAGAATCATTGGAAAATATAACACTGAATAATTAAATTGGCATTATAAATAAAAGAAAAAAAGATTAAAATAGAAATTCTTGTGTTGAAATATACAATAACAAAGATCAGAATTCACATAATGGACTCAATAGAAAATGAGGAATAGAAGAAGAATCAGTGATTCTAAAGAGATCTCAATAGAAAAATTTCAATCTGAAAAATAGAGAGTAAAGAGATTGAAGAAAAATGAATAACTTCAGAGACCTGTGAGATAATATTAGGACAGCCAATATATATGTAATATGAATCCCAGAAGGAAAAGAGCAAAGGGAAGGAATATAAATAATGGCTGTAAACTTTCTTGATTTTGATGAAAAAAAGAAAATCTGCAGATTCAAGAAGCTAAAGAAATCAGATTAGGGCAAACACAAAGAGATTCTAACTTAGAAACAACATGGTCACACTGCTGAAATCTAAAGATAAAGAAAAATCATCTTGAAAGCAGGAAGGGAAGAATAACTCATTGCATATTGGGAAACAAGAGTGTAATTAATGGATGATTTCTCATCGAAACAATAGCGGCCAGAAGGCAGTGGAATTCAAAGTGTTGAATAAATTGTCTGCTAAGAATTCAATATTAAGCAAAGCTATCTTTGAAAAATTAAGATTAAATAAAGATATTCCAATGCAAACAAAGACTAAGATGTTTGTTGCTAGCAGAATTGCACTACAAGAAATACTAAAGGAATTTCATCAGGCTGAAAGGAAATGACATGAAGGAATAATAAAGAATGTACATACGGGAAGAAATGAAGACACTAAATGGAAAAATGAAATTATTCAAGGAATGTTCTTTAATCACAATGGAGTTAAATTAGAAATCAACAACAACAAAAATTTAGAAAATACATAAACATGTAGAGGTTAAACAAAACACTTTTAAATATCCCATGGGCAAAGAAACATAAAAAGAAATCAAAAAGCATTTTGAACTAAATGAAAATGTGAGTACAACATATTAAAACTTATGGGAGGCAGGTTGTGTTTGGGGAATTTCTCATAGTGATGAATACCTACATTAGGTAAGAAGAAAAGTCTTAAAACAGTAATCTAAGCATCCATCTTAAGAAACTAGAAAAGGAAGAGTGATTGCCTTCAAAATAAGCAGAAGGAAGAAAATAATACTGAATATAATTAAATCAATAGTATATAAGAGTAAAAACAATAGAGACAATTTATGAAGCATAAAGTTATCCTTTGGAAATATCAACAAAACTGAAAAACCTTTAGATTGACCAAGAAAATAAAGAGAGAAGACACTAATTTCTAAAATCAGAACTAAAACAAGGGCTATTGCTGCTAACCTTACAGAAATTTAAGGGCTTATATTTTTTCATAATTATATAAATCATGAATTACACAGTTACATATAATAATTTGTGTAATTACATATAATATAAAATACGTAACTGTGAACACATTTAAAACAAATTATAGAACTTAGACAAAAAACATAAACTTGTAGAGAGACACAAATTATCAAAAGTGACACAAAAAGAAATAAAATATCTGAATAGATGTATAAATTAAGCAGGTAATTAAAATCTTCACAGAAAGAAAAGCTAAAGGCAGATTGTTTCACTGTTTAATTTTATCAATTTATCATTTTAAAATAAGCTATTTCAGAAAATGGATGAAGAGAAAATACCTTCCAACTCATTCTAGGACAACGGGTATTATGTAGAAGCCACAACCAAATAAAGAAATCCTAAGATAATAGAACTATGAACCAATATCCTTGGTGAACATAGACACAAAAATTGACAAAATATTAGCAAACTAAATTCACTTACACACAAAAAAATGGATAATACACCTTGACCAAGTGGAACTTAACCAAAGAATACAAGGTTGGTTCAATTGTCCAGAATTCAATTAATGTAATAAAAGATATAGGAAAAGGGTCAAACCATATGATCATCTCATTAAGTTGAGAAGAAATTTTGAAAAATTTAATATCCATTCCAGATAAGACCTTTCAAGAAACTGAGAAAAAATGGATTCTATCAGCCTTAAATAGGACATTTACAAAAAATGCCACAGTTAGCCTATTCCTTGATGATAAAAATTAATATTTTGCCCCTCAGAACAGACAACTCAAGTAAACTAAGCAGAAGACTTGAGAAGACATTTCACAAAAAATAAAAGTGAAAAATGTAAAAAGTAAAAAATGATGTTCAATTTCATTAGCCACTAAAGACATGCAAATTAAAACTACATGTGATTCTAAGAAATCCCCACTAGAATGGCTATAATAAACAAGACAGACAATAGCAAGTGTTGATGATGTGGACATGGAGAAAGTCAAACTCTACATTTCTAGTGGGAATGAAAAACAGAAGAGTAACTTTGTAAAACATTCTGACAGTTTTATAAAAAAGTTAAACATGGATTTGCCAGATGACGCAGGAATCCATTCCTAGGTGTCTACTTTGGAAAATGAAAACATGTTCCTATAAAAAATGTGCATGCAAATATTCATAATAGCATTGTTTTTAAAAGACCATATTGGAAACAATCCAAATAGCCATCAAATGGTGGAAAGAGAAACAATAGGTGGTATATTTGTAGAATAGAACTCTATATATCAGTAAAAAACAACAAACTATTGATAAACCCTACAACATGGATGAAACTTAGAAACATGCTGAGTGAAAAGAGCTAGTTATAAATACAAAAGAGCACATATTTTATAATGCAATTTATATGAACTTTCCAGAAAAGGAAAATCTATAGAGATAGAAAGCAGATCAGTGGTTGTCTGGAAGCCAGGATGGAAATGGGAATTGACTATAAACAGGAGCTTTTACAGTGATGAAATTGTCTTAAAACATAACGTGGTTATGGATGCAAAACTACAAATCTATGAATAAAACATTGAATTGTATACTTTCAATGGATGGATTGTATGACATGTAAATTATATCCCAATAAGGCTGTTAAAATTAAAGGGAAAGTTTTACTAAAATGAAGGAAATGAATTAATTTGGGAAATGTATAATTTTTTTAAAAACTGTATTATTTAATTATATAAAATAAGGATTCAATGTGGAGCTGAATTTGAATCTTGGCTCAATACATTTCTGTAAAAATATGATTAAATTACCATGGGTAAAGCTCGGTTTCCTAATTGGTAAAATCAGGGATGTTAATGCCTATATTCCCATTTGAAATCATTGTTATGCAACTTGGATGAGAGAGGAAAATGCCTTGTAAGCCATAAAACTCTATGCATATTTTAGTTATGATGATGATGATGACCTTCCCTATTAAAGAATCAATTTTGAACAATCTGTTTTATTCCTTAGCTTAAAGCCTTCTTGGGTGTATGACCATGCTATTTTCAGAAGCTAACTGACATCACCTTTGAAATTCACCTTCCCTCCTTCAAAGTAAATACTGCAGAATTTTCATTAAAAAAAAAAAAAAGGAAAGAAAAAACTTCATGAACATGACTTGATCATTCTACAGCACAACATGTAGTATAAATTTACAAGGTATGTGGTTGCAAGTAATTAGCAAAGAGATAAAAAGGAAAATGCCATGTCTTTCATCAAAATTTGGGAGATAAAACGTGAATGCTCCTCTTTCTTTGCCTTTGTAGTGATTACTAGTCTAAAAATCCACCCTTGTGCAACATATTTCTGAAGACATCACTCTAGTGGATGTTCATAAACACATCAAAGGTAAAAAAAAAATAAGTAAATAAATAAATAAAGCATTTTGCAACATCAATCTGTTTTTATCAAGCCTTGAAAATCAAGTGAAGTATATTATTTACACATGAGAGGTTCTATTCTGAGTCTACATACATCTGGCACAGTTCATGTTTTTCTTTAATTTAAATGAATAAGTGTTATAATGAATGCCTTCCATTTAATTGCTCTATATTGGTAAGCTTCTGTCCCAAATTTAGGAAAATGTTTAGCAAGAATGAGATTCTCATTAAGGCATACTCTCTCTGCCCCAATCCCTGTACTCTCCCTTTCCTCCCATTTCAAAAGGAAGAATGACAAGAAACAGTGAAAAACAAAATCCATGTTAGCAATGTTATGCAGCTAAGGTACACTTATTGGTGGCCAATGAAGAGGAGAGGACAAAAATTAGTCAGGCATAGTGGTTATGATCACTTGGAGTTAGAGAGACTGGGATGAAATTCTGGTGCTCCTAAATATTACCTGCTCATTTAGCCATTCTTCGATAGGCATTTATTAAGTACTTACTTCATGTCGACATTGTGCTATGTTCTGTCAATGCAATGGGAAGTAAAAATGTATATAATAATGCTATTCTCAAGTAGGGTCAGTTATCACTATTTTAGTCATTCTCTAATTAGGATATAAACATGAAAGAATACATTTGAATTGCGGAGATATTACTCAAATTAAGGAGAACACTTCATGTGTGTATTAAAATTGTTCTTTCTAAACAAAAATGTCACCACACTTTGTCATTTGTCCCCTGTTTTGCCATTTCAACTTTTGAACAGAAATAAAAAACTCCAAGGGATCATACAGGATGGCAGAACTGAGGCAACTCAGAAAAGAAAAACCATTTCTTTTACCTATAATTACTGTACTATTGTTGTTTAGAATTTACTGTTTAAACTCAGAAGTATGTAGTATGATAGAAGTTGAGACAAAACTGTACCTGAGGCAAGCTCTAATGATTGTGAACCATTAAGAACTTACTTTTAACAAAACAAAACGCAAAATCTTTTGTAGCTGAGTCCATGTTTAGGGCTGTTAATATAGCTGGGAGTTCTCCAGATTAACTTCCACATAGAATATTATGCTCATGGAAGGATATTTTTTAATACTAATTGAAAGCACATATAAATATTAAATCTCAGTAGCAATCACCTCTATTGTTAAGAACTTAGTCTAACAAAAGATGTATTCAAAAAGACATTGCTTAGAATTGCTGACACAAGGTACTAATAAAGAGCAGACTAACATTTAGTGTGTTTTATTACTGCTTTTAAGTTCTCTACAGACAATACACCCCTTTATTGCTTCCACCTTGGAAGACAACTTCCACAATCCTGTCCTTGGTACACCACAGATACAATGAGAGCTTATGTATCACAAAAGGAACTCATGTTTCAGACACCTGAGAATACATGTCTAAGGAAGTGCAAACTATTTGATAAGCAAGTGCTAGAAGAGCAAGGGAGTAATATGAAAGCAAGTTGGAGAAATATGTACACAAGATTATGTGGAGTCTCTTACATCATATTCAGGATTTTGGTTTTATCCTAAAAACAACAGAAAGCCTTTGAAGGCTTTTTTGGTGGAAAAATAAGAGAGGGTAGTGAGGAGGTATTATAATCAGATAAACATTTTGAAAACTTCACTCCAGGTATAGAGAGCAGATTGAATAGAAATCAGTGAAGATCAAAGATGCTACAGCACTGGTACAAGTAAAAGATAAGACTCTGGTGGTGACAGTTGAGTTAATACCTGGTGGTTCATGATGGGAGGAACTTGTAGGAAGTAAAATCAACATGGATTAGTGATATATAATGTATATGGAGAGACAGAGAGAGAGAGAGAGAGAGAGAAAGATTTGTTCCAACGAATTGGCTCACACAATTATGGAAGCTAACAAATCCCAAAATCTCTGTCAGCAAGCTGGAGATATAGCAGAGCCAATTATGTAGTTCCAGTCCAAAGGCTAGCCAGCTCAAGACCCAGGAAGAGTCCATGTTTTAGTTCAAGTCCAATGTCAAGGGAAGAAAACCCCAATGTCTCTGCTTAGTGCAGTCAGGCAGGCAGAAATCCCCCCTTACTCATGGAAGAGTCAGTCTTTTTGTTCTATTCAGACCTTCAAGTGATTGAGTGGGGCCCATCCTTATTACGGAGGGTACTCTGCTTTAGTCAGACTATAGATTCAAATGTTAAACTCATCCAAAAACACCCTCATTGATATATCAAAATAGTGTTTCAGAAAACATCTGGGCACTCTCTGGCCCAGTCAAGTTGACACATTAAAATTAACCATCACACTGAACATAGAGCTGAGGAGGGGGAAGTGTTTAGCAAGATGTCTGTATTTCTATTTTGGACAATCTGGAGGCTAGTGGTTGTATTCACTAAGCTACGAACACCAGAAAAGCACCAGATTTTAGGTCAAAGTCAGAAATTTTATTCTGAACTTGCTGAGTTTGAAGTGACTTAGCAACATCTAAGTGGCTCTATCAATAGATATATGGTTTAAGACTCAGAGGAGAAATTGGGTTTAGAAAGAATTACATGGGAGTCAACAGCACATAGATGGCAATGGAAGCCACCAGCACAGGTAGAAAGGAAAAGAAGGGAAAGGGTAAAGAGTAGAGAGAGGAGGCACCTGGGTGGCTCAGTCAGTTAAGTGTCAGACTCGATTTTAGCTCAGGTCGTGATCTCATGATTTGTGAGATGGAACTCCCCATTGGGCTCTGTGCTGACAGTGAGAAGCCTGCTTGGGATTCTCTCTTTCTCTCTCTCTCTCTCTCTCTCTCTCTCTCTCTCCTTTATGTCTCTCTCTCTCTCTCTGCCCTTCCCCTATTCATTCATGCACACTCTTTCTCTTGAAATAAGTAAACTTAAAGCAAAAACAAGGGGTACAGAGACAAAGAAGAAGGCCAAAATCAATACTTTGGGAATTTTGACATTTTGACATTTAATGGATCAGGAGGATGATCTTGCAAACAGAACAGATCTCAGTCAGACAATAGAGGACGCACGATGGAGAATACTGTGTAATTGAGCCTATGGTACAGTGGAGGGAGCAGGAGCTGAGGTGAAGTGTGCTGCTCGTAGAATATGGAGAAGGGGGAGATATCAATAGGCAATGATGAACTAGAGAAAGTGTGTAGAGAGAGCTTTTATAAAAGTTATGAGAGCAGAGAGATAGGGTTATAGATTATAAGATTCTCAGTGATACAGTTGTAAAATTTTCCTTCCTTACTGAATACAGTGAAAAGAGACACCTAATATAATCAGAGAGTACCAAGATAGCTTATCTAGTGTTCAATAAATATCTGTTGAATGAATACATCCTTGAATGTCTGACATCATTCCCTCTGGAAAACCATTCACAATTATTGGCTTTATTATTTTTTATTAGATATGATGGGCTATAAAAAGCAATCTATTATACATAATGAACTATAATAAATATTTATATATATGAGTGCATGGGCCATATGATTAAAACTTTTGCATAAAATCTCTTGTGGTATCAAATATCCAAGGCAAACTGTACACATAAACCACCAGGTTCAGGCAGATTCCACACATAACAGCATTCTCTTTATGAGGGCTCATGGGATAAATGCCTCTCTTTTCTTTGCACAAAGAATAGACTTGTTTTATTGTTTAGAGGATGGGACTCCTAGAATGGACTGTGTTTTCCTTTGTGTCACGAGGATGCTCAGGGCTAAGCTGTGGTCCATTTGTAACAATCAGAGACAGCAAATTAAAGAGCATGATTTTGTCTATATATTTCATCCCTGGTTTCTTTTCTCCTTATTTCCTCATTACTTCAATTTTCTTAGTTCTGAAAAAAAGTCTTTTTGGTTTTCTATGGATTTTTATAATATGTCCTTCTTCTTTCCCCTATAAAAGAGTACACATAATAAACAAATAATCCCATCAGTCTATACAATTCAGAAGGATGCACCTGTAAGTGTATTGCACTGTTTTATCCCAGAATGTGGAGTCGGTTTTATTTTACTCCTGTAAATGGAGCATTTGGCAAAGTGGTATGAATCAGACCTCAGAGTTTATTGCTAGAGAGCATTTGATGGAGAGGCAGAAAAGGATTTACAGTTTTACTTTAAAGGGTGATTTTGCATGTGTGTGCATGTGCAGGCCCACTCTCCCACCACGTATGTGCAATTGTTAAATAAGCTTCTCTTTTTGAGGATGGGAAGTGTATTTTTAATGAACAAGAGTTATTAAAGGGAACTTGGGGCCTCTCAGAATCAACAGCGTCACAGCAAGCTTTCAATTAGGGGGGCATCTGCTGGGAATACAGGGGAATCTCCACCCAAAGTCAGTTGCTAATCACGCTCACCCGCCACAGCAGCCAGACAGCCCTGTGCGCTGGGAAAGTTGCTTATTTCCGCCAAGCTCAATCACACTACATTAAGTGGCCACCTGGGTAATATGTGCGTACACACCTGCTGACCTATCCAGACGAACAAAACATACAGAAATCAAGCTCCTAAAACAGACAGAAAGCAGATCCTCCCTTGGCCCAGAAGGGGAGACCGAACAAGCAAAGAAGAAAAGATCCAAGACTGGGAGTACCTAATGAATTGTCAAGAAATCAGCATTAACTCTGGGACCTGTAGTTAACTTGTTCCACTGCTCTTTAAGCAGTGCATTCAACAGACCCCTATCCTTGAAAAAAATTCAACTTTTCACTTTCAGAACAATAGAATGTAATTTGAATCAGACCAAATAACAGCCTGATTTGTAGAAAGTGAGATTAAGCAGCATTGAATACATACAAACACACACACACACACACACACACAAGTTTTTAATGATTTCTTTCAGCCAATTTTGTAAATGTATTGTACATCTTCCTTTTCTCAATGCATGAAAAGTTCTTTTCCTACAAAATAAAATGATGCTTAATTACATGCCAACTGTTGGGAAGGAGTATTATATAATTCACAAGTTGTAAAGGTATCAGGCAAAGGGTAGTTTATAACACAATATTATAGATCAAACTTTCTTGATGGATTGCATTACTACAGCCACTTGAACTGTTATTTTTCATCATAATTATTGTTATTTTCTTTTTTTTAGGGCTGGTCTGTGGACAAACTTCAGAAAATCTAAGAAGTTTGACCCAAAAACCCCACCTCAAAACAAACAAATGAAAATAAACCACAAACTAAAAACACATTCTAAGGAATAAAAGCTTTATTTCTGATGATTTCTAAACACAGATGCATGCACTTACTTTCTGTTGTTTTATTGTGCTTTTCTTCATAATACTCTAAGGTTAAGAAATGACGAGAGCAGTTATCTAGGCATAGCAGATTAAGGAGAAATTACAGTCTGAATCATGAACTTTCTAAATTTTGTTGTTAAAACTCCATCTAAGAATATGCATTTTTCCAGTTGACTCTGCCTACTTAGACATACACTTGCTGTTTTCAAGTTTTAGTCCAGCAAATAGGCTCAATGAAACATCCTGACTAATGAGAGTATTCATTGTGTGCATTAATGATATTTTACGACATATGGAAATATTTTGCCTCTTTCATATATAGATTCACCATATATATAACAACATTTATAGTATTCTTTAAATCATGTGTGTGTGTATGTATGTGTATAATGCTTCAGGGAAGGCAACGAGACAATATTTCCCCCTAAATGTTAAGGAAGCAATGTATTTGAAATGAGGAAAAATATTGAAAATTTTAAAAATATCTGCATTGGTCAAATTTTTATAGTTGAATCAAAATGATTAATAACCAAGCTCAGCCTTCCCCTAAGCACTTATATGCAATTGATATGTTGAATAAGAAAGAATACTAAAGCATGCTACAACAGAGCCTATAATTCCCAGCAAGCCTCTCTATTTTCTGATGGAGATAATCAGTAAGTAGATCTCCAAGGCATCTATTAATCACTGTCAGTTTTGACTAAATGGAGGTTCTGATTGGCTGCTAAAGAAGGGCCAGCTGCTAAAGGAAACTAGAGAACCTGTAAAAACAAAACCTTTCTTTCCTTCACTGAAATAACTACTAGTTAAAGAAGCAAAACTTCTTTAAATGGAAAGAGAAGGGAGATAAATATGAAGAAATAACGTATGTAGACTCACCAGCTAAGACATTAGTCTGTGAGCAATTGTAACACATATTTGTTGCTGCATTTTCAAACAATGTAAAGGAAAACCAAAGTAAGAAGAGTAGCATGTATAATAAAACAGCATATCCAATCAAAATAATTTGTCTTCTTAGGCGCACAGCATCATGGACTATATTTACATACCCATGTTCCTGCACAGATATCTGTGTATGATGGGTCTTAGTAGGACTTTGAAAATGTCAGTGTCTTTGTTGAAAGCTAGCGCAGCTAAGGGAGCATAATTTTGATTGTTGCCTTAATGTTTCTACTGTGGCTAGCTCACAATGTTAGTATCTTCCCACACTTAGCTATCTAGATATTAAGGTTTAAGGTTCACTTGCCAAACAAGTGGTTATATTTTGCTAAATTTGGTTCCAGAGAACTAGGAGTTTTGAATCTAGAGATAAATGCTGGATACAGAAATATTTGATCTTTGATATTCAAATGATGCCAGTAACTCCCTCTGGCATTCATTCCATTCCTTCCTACATCTCCCTCCTAAAAACAACAACAACAACAACAAAATGCCACAGAAGAAAACAAATAAATAAAACATGATTGTGCCCCCTTCTCAGAGAATATACTCCAACAGCTTGGCTGAATATAGTTTTGGACTTCACTTTACTGGCCTCAGTTAATGGATACAAGGTGAGGAAAATCTAATTGTTTCTCCCAGATATTTTAGATTTGGGTACCACAATCCTAGTCTATTTACCATGCTTGAATGGAGGAACTATTTGGGGCTATCTTGTGTATAGAGAAAGGGAAGGCTGCTGGGAGGTATAGAGAGATTGGGCTGAGAAACCACATAGCCCCAGAATAAGGGGCCCAGAATAAGAAAGAGATGGAGAAAGAATTTGATCCAAAGAACTTTCCAGGCCTTACAAGGCCCCTTGTATGGCTTGACTGTACTTCCAGTATCATTCTGTCATCTGATGCTCTTGGGAGTTTTTAAGATATTCCTTTTTGCTTGTCCTAAAACTAATCAGTATGTCTATGTCACCTGTATGCAAATGATTCATGCTAAGACTCTTGAGATGTCTGAAATTAAAAACCAAGTTATTTGCTTTTTCTTTCTTTCTTTCTTTCTTTCTTTCTTTCTTTCTTTCTTTCTTTCTTTAATTTCTCTGTGGATAAAAATATCATTGCTTGTCTTTTTTAGTTTTTATGCTTATTACACAAATTAAGTTGTAAAATTGTAGTTTGGAAAACTATCCCCTAGACCTTTTTTATTGTGATAGAACAGACTAACCGGAGTCATTGCAGCGTGTGTGTGTGTGTGTGTGTGTGTGTGTTTGTGTGTGTGTGTGTGGTGGGAGTACTCATAGGTTCACTAAACAAATAATTAGGAGGAGAAATAAGGTGAATATAAAGTATAAAAGTATAATAGTATAAAACATTAAAATATTTTTAAAGTATAATGGAAACATTGTATTCTGGGCAGTGATTTTATGTTAAAGTCTGAACTTTACAGCTCATACAAACACACATGGAAGACTCTCTCATGACTGCTGTGTATATCTACCTACCAGATTCACTTGAGGAGCTATTTTAACGTTTATTTATTTATATATTTATTTATTTTTAAATGTTTTATTTATTTCTAGGAAAGAGAGAGAGACAGAGTGAGCAGGGGAGGGTCAGAGAGAGAGGGAGTCACAGACTGAAACAGGCTCCAGGCTCTGAGCTGGCAGTCAGCACAGAGCCCGACGCGGGGCCCGAACCCACGAACCGTGAGATCATGACCTAAGCCGAAGTCGGACGCTTAACCGACTAAGCCACCCAGGTGCCCCTATTTATTTATTTTTTTTGAGAGACAGAGAGACAGTGCGAGTGGGGTAGAGGCAGAAAAAGAGGGAGATGCAGAATCAGAAGCAGGCTCTGATAGCACAGAGCCTGACACCGGGCTCAAACCTCAAACCATGAGATCATGACCTGAGCCGAAACCTGACTCTTAACCACTGACTGAGCCACCCAGGTGCCCCCTGGGGAGCTATTTTAATATACATCTTGGAAACACTTCTTTCTGGATTCTTTGAATAAGAGTATATGGGTATGAGGCTTATGAATCTGTATTTTATGTATGTGTGTATGTATATATGTATGTATGTATGTATGTATGTATGTATGTATGTATGTATTTTTCTTGTTTGTTTGCTTGAGAGAGACCATAAGCTGGGGAGAGAGGCTGAGTGAGAGGGAATTCCAAGTAGGCTCCACACTCAGCATGGAGCCCAACACTGGGCCTGATCCCATGGCCCGAGCTGAAACCAAGAATCGAACATTCAACCAACTGAGCCACTCAGGCATCTTTGAATCTATTTTAAAAGGTTATCCTCTGGGGCACCCAGGTGGCTCAGTTGGTTAAGGGTCCGACTTTGGCTCAGGCCATGATTTTGCAGCCTGCGTCAGGCTCTGTGCTGACATCTGAAAGCCTGGAGCCTGCTTCTGATTCTGTGTCTCCCTCTCTCTCTGCTCCTTCCCTGCTTGTACTCTGTCTCTGTCTCTCTCAAAAATAAACACACATTTCACCATCCCAGACTTTAGCCTCTACTACTAAGCTGTCATCATCAAGATAGTATGGTATTGGCACAAAACCAGACACATAGACCAATGGAACAGAATTGAGAACTCAGAAGTGGACGCAAAAGTATACAGCCAACTAATTTTTGACAAAGTAGGAAAGAGTATCCAATGGAAAAAAGACAGCCTTTTTAACAGATGGTGCTGGGAGAACTGGACAGCAACATGCAGAAGAATGAAACTAGATCATTTTCTCACACCATACACAAAAATAAACTCAAAATGGATAAAGGACCTGAACGTGAGACAGGAAACTATCAACACCCTAGAGGAGAAAGCAGGAAACAACCTCCTTGACCTCCACCGCAGCAA